AATGCAATCAGTTTATTCTAACCCTTGTTTTTTCCTATTTACGTTTCTGTTCTTATCATTTTGACCTTTGTTGAGTCGCATATAAAAGTTTGTAGAAAGCTCATTAGACCACAGATTTGAGTCAATAACATATTTCTGAGAGATGCCTAGCTTTCTTTTGGATTTGCTAAAATATATAACAACAGTATTACACTAACTGAGACACCAACTCAAAAAGATGCCAAGAAAATTAAACAGAGCATAATGATATAGCAGTGATATTTTTTGCTTGGTCATCCTGTGGAAATCCAAAACAAGACAGAATAATTGGTATAATTGTAGTCTTTACATAAATGAACTGTTTTGAGATGGTTGAGGTTTGAATTAATGGTTTATTTTCAGGGTTGTTATCTGGCAACAAAAAATTATATGTTAAATATGCTGAGAGGACTTTCTAAGACCCAACTGTCCCAATTCACTTTTTTGTTGCTTAGCATTTATGGTATGAAGCAGTGGTTCTCAATCTTTCTTAGATTCAGGGTATTGCTTGTTAGACTCAAAAGCACCCCTTGGAAAGTGCCAGCTCTTCACTTTCACTCATTTTTTTGACTACAGAAAAAATATTGAGCAATTCTTCTGTTACCAAAAATGAGGTAACAAAATTTGTTAACAACAATGAGGTAAATGGTCTTTCCAGAGACAAGGCTACATCATGTCTATGATTACGACTTCTTTGCAAGCTTAGACTCAGAATTCAGGAACAGTTACAATTTTCTTACTGATTACTCCTTTTGTAAACCAAGTTAAGATACAATCACATTTTTCAATGATTTTTCATTTCCTTTTAGCAGGTAAAGCATTGCTACTACCCAAGTCAGACAAAGAGTCAAGAGACAGGTCTATAACCCAACTTTTTATTCATTACAACTCAATCCATAAGCATAAACCCTTGTTTCTATGCCTATTTAGCTACCTGCAACAGCACAATACAGATTTTTATCTGGCTGGGGGAGACTCAAGAGGAAGGAGCTGGCATGCAGGCTGGCAGAAGGTTGTTTTCACTTTGCAGAGATCTTCCCAAAGATTCCCTGTTTCCACCCAATATTTTTATGTGGGTTACCTAAATAAATATTCTGATTGGCATTATTCAAATTTGTTTAACTGAAACTTTGGCCTGTACTGAACTAGTTTTCCTGTGGTCTTGGATGATGCCAATTAGCTGGGATCTGTGGTCTTGAACAGAGTAGAGTTATGGGAGGGAAGACTTTTTGTCTCTTTCCCTCACCATCTGGGAATGCTACTTGCCATGTTTTGTTTCTTCTGCTTTGCTGAATAGACCAATTATAGTGTACAACAGGTTAATGAAACAAAACATTGGTTGTTACTTCTAGCTATTGTTACACACCTTTTCAAAATGCAGTTATTGATTTTTGGGTTAATCTAATATTAAAGGCTGAATAAACAGTTTCTTATTTTACTTTCGCAGACTATTGTGATTTGAATGCAAGCTTATTGATTGTTGAGTGTATACCAGTTTAAGTATGTATCATTCATAACTTGGGCTTTTGCTAGGGCTGTAGTCTGCACTAGTCAGTGTGGTCTGTCAGTCACTGACCATATCTACAGCCTACACTTCTGTTGTAGACTACTCAGGCCACAACAGGTCAGAATATTTTTCTATTTGAGTGGATCCCTATTTGAAATCTCTGGGTTTAGGTAGTGAATCATGTGTAAGCTTTAGCACACCATAGTGCTACCAATGAGTGATACTCTGTGCGACCCTTAAAAGGATCTCGCAGCACCCTGGTTGAGAAACTCTGGTATAAAGGATCTATTGAAAGCCCACTCAGGTTGATGGAAAAACGCACAATTTTATGAATCTTTTGCAAGCAAGTACTCTATTCACAAAAGTCACCTCTCTTTCTCCAATGAAATTATACATTTGACTCAGAGTTGTAGGATTGATTCCTCATTGATTTAGAACAGATTTGTTACTCTTGCCTAGATAACTTACAGTACAGGTAGAACAATAATATAATTACTGAAAGTTAATAAACTGTGGATGTAATGCTACATACTAGTTGCTATAGCAGGAGTAGGCAACACAGCACGCATGCCAGAGTGTGGCACACAAAGGCATTTTGCTTGGCACAGGCATCTCGGGGAAGGAGCTGGAGCTGCCCTGCCACAAGGATTGGACCCCATGTAGCTCCCCCGCCATCTGCTCCTGGCACACCAACTGCTTACAGGTCAAGGTTGTGGGTGTTTTTGTCACCCTGTCCAAAAATGTTGCCGACCCCTGTGATACAGCATTTTTCATACATAGATCTTCAAACAGTTTCAAATTAAATGTCATCATCTCTGTATTACAGGTGATGTTGTGACATGTCCAAAGGTATGTCCCACAATAGAGGTAGTGCCAGTGTTAAACTTTCTTATGCCTTGCTCTTTATTAGGGAACATGTGAAGTTTTACATCTGGTTGATCTCACTGCTTGTCCATCCTATCACAAGTGGATCTGTCAGCAAATGGATCTTCCCAAATATAATCCTCATTCCACAATGGAGACTGGTATGGTATATTGATCTCTAGCAACATATAATCTGGGAAGTTCTCATGCTACCATTCTGTTGTTTAGTAGTTAGTGAATCAGAACTTCCTGTTGTTTTCTCATCTATATATATATATATATATATATATATATTTATAACCTAATAGATTTTAAAGGTAGAAGGAATCATCACCAGCTGGTGTATGTAACACAAGCCAGTTAAAACACAGTGTGACAGGGGGCTGTCATGCGGCCATTCTAACTGTTGGCCAGCCCACCTGTCCAGAGCAGTCCGCCCACCTGCCTTTCCTGCCACGCCTTTGATGTAACTCAGAGAAGTTGTTTATAAAGCGGGAGGCTGCCCATTTAATGCCTGATGCCAAGGGTATAATACTCTGCTCTGAACCTCCCCTTATACCATGTCCCGTACTTTGCAGATGGTATCACTAAATGGCTTCACCCCACAATGGACCTCACTCTATGATGTTTGGACCCCACCTTGATCCCTTCTCCTCAGACAGTCTAATAGCCACCTTCATTCTGGGTTGCAAACTCCCTAGACCCCTTTTCCTCTCGGCAGTGGCCTCCTCTGGGACCTTTGGCCTCGGAGGCCCTGGTCCTGCCTCTAGACCAGTCAGAACTCCAGGCCCCTGACTCTGGCTGTCCCTTGCAGTGGGCATCCTTGCCCTTTGACTGTTCTGGTCCTGGCCCCAGCATTGACCAGTCAAGGGTTTCCTGGCTAGGTTCTTGAGCAGCTAGCCCTCTTCCTTTCATATGCGTCCGCCTTCTTGGGCCCCTCCAGACACAGCTCACTCAATCTCTAAGGCCCAGCCTATGAGCACTCCTTCAGGCCCACCCATGCAGACCCTACTCTACATGGCCCACACACAGTCCTTCAGGCCCACCCATGTGGACCCTTCTCTACACAGCCTACTCACTTGAGTCTACTGCTTTCTCACATTGCCCTCTCCCTGGGCCATGAAAGATGCATGCCCCCAGAGGGTGGTGGGGCACAGCGACTGCCTCCAGGCAGAAGCAGTGGTGGTGGGGGCATGGCAGTGGTGAGCAGGGAGCTCCCACAGGTGACTGCAGTGGTGTCAGAGGTGGGGGAGAGGGGGAGGGTGGTGAATACTGACCAGCAGTCAGTGACCAGCCACAGATGCCACCAGCAGTGTTGGCGGTGGCCAGCGGCAATCAGCGACTGCCTGCAGATGCCATCAGTGGTGAAGCGGGGGAGGGGTGAGCAGCTACTGCCTGCAGGTGCCACCAGCAGCATTGGTGGCACATTTCTTAGGGGGTGCATGTGTACCTGTGTGCACCCGCTATGTGTTGCCAATGCCCTTGGCCCACTACTCTGCCCCCTCACTGGGGGCTGTAGGCCTTATGCCTCTTAGATCTCAAGCCTAATGACATGCCTGAACCCTTTGCCTGTCCCCTTTCCAGGGTAACCCACCAGATTGTGGGGGCTGAGGCTATAGGGTACCCCATACTCATTTTTCACTAGGAAGGCACTGATGTGGCATTTCCTGGGGACCATCCTGCCACAGGGAGCCCCACCACAACATCCAGCCCTAGCAGGGTGTAGCTGTAGGTCATTCCCCAAGACCAGGAACCTCCTCCATCCCCATAGTTCCTATCTTTGACCTCCAGATGTTCTGGGAGCAGCAGATTGCTGGCTGGGCAATGTTACTTCAGTGCCATCCCTACTGCAACTGCCCACTTAGCTCTGAGGGCCTGGTTTTATACTGAAGTGGCCTGGCCCCATCCTCCAATCCAGGAGCCCTCTTGCAGTCATGTGACTGTCTTGTTAAACCACACCCAACCTGCTGGCTGATCCATAGCCTGTTCAAGCCTCTTAAAAAGTGGTAGGCACCAAAGGTGCCCTGCCACACTCAACAACAAGAATGTTTAGCCCTAGAAGCATTCAAAGATAAACTTGACCTCAGTCCTGTGCTCAGTGTGGAAACTCATGGGTACACCACACAAATGGTCAAAGTCCTCTTTTTTCAGCCTTCTCTCCCCCAATCTGTTTTTTTGAGGAAAGAGCTTTTTTATTATAGTCACACCTTGTTTCATTCCTGGGATACTGGAAAATTCGTGCAGGTTTAATTGTCCACTAAGTGTCTGAGAATTATGTTTATGAGAGGGTCTAGCAGTCATTAAAAATAATTAGCTTGTAATGATTAATTAGTCCTGCAAAGGAGCTGCCCAGGTAAATGTTTATGCTTACATCATGTCCCCTTGACTTCTACAGAGCTCCAGTCAAGTGTAAAAGTCTGTGTAGATGAATCCATTTACAGGGACGATCTTTTAGTAGGCTAATTTAGCTCTCTACTTACAAAGGAGATGTAACTTCCTTTCTTTGCAGGTGCCACAGGAAGAAAAAAATTCAATGATTTTATGTGGAAATCCTTTCCTGTACAAGACATGAGTAATCTGAAATCTCTGTATATCCTGCCTTTGAAGCACCACAGAGATGAATGTTTTAAAAAACCTATCCATTTTATAAATGGCAAACATGAAAATATAAACAGAAAGCTGGAGAAACGAAAGAGAGATGACAAAAACAGGTAGAACGAAATAAGTGTTCCTTCATATCTTGCTGATCTAGGACATTAGAAGTAACTATCCCATGCTTTCATTTTATGGCTGATATTTATATAAAGACATTTTTATTTTTTACAAAGTATTTCTGAGATATACTATGTTTTTTCACATATAGCATATACCTAATTGCCTTAATGCGTCATTGTTCTTCACTCCAGAGATGTTAACAATTCGCTCTCCTTTTTAATGGTCTTGATGTTCCACTATTCAAGCTAATCTTTTTAAGGCCAGTATTGTTGTCTGATAGCTATTCCCAGACTTTTCTCCTATTTTAGAGCCTTGGAGACTCTAGCTCTTTTCAAACTCGTAGATCCACCCATGAAGACCAGTCTTCAGCAGCAGGTAGGGTTTCAGTATTAGTGAAGCAGGAAAGGGAGGGTGAGTGAGCTGAAGATTAGGCCTTGTCCCTCTTCTAGGCAGCCATAGCTCTGGGAAAATCTTTTTTTTCCTTTATTCTGCCTTTCAAAAACAAGGTGCTTATTATATTCCGGGGCATGTTGTATGAAAGAAACTATGGTAGTAAGTCTGTTCCTTAGCTAATAAATAGTAATTATTTTTATATTTTTTCAAGTATTTTCAAAGCCAGCCTTGTCATAAGCAATTTCTTTGTGAATAATTGAGGGCGGTACCCATTTTTCGTTTTTGGAATTCTTCTGTGATTTGTGAAATTTTTATCTAAACATTATTAAACTTTTTTTTACAGAAACAAAAAATAAGGTTTACAATAAAAATATCAGAATATTTTCATGACATTTCAGTAAAAGCAGTGCATTTTTTATGCTTCCAAATTAAAGTAAAGAACATTTCAAGTTTTATCACAAAATTAGATTTTTATCTTTTGACCAGTTCAGCTTTTTTGCCCAGTTCTACCAGTTCTGCTGGAACAATTCTACTGAAAACCATGGAATGGCAATGGTGTAAAATTAAATAAGATCTGGACCCAGCATTGCAACTTTTACAGAAAGACGTTAACTCCCTTTATTTATTGTAATGTAAGGTCGTATATACAAAAAAGAGTTAATAATAAGATATATATGTAGGGCTAAGAAGAGAGAAGAAGAGAAAGAAAGAATAGTTGTGATGATATTGACAACGACACAAGTGGGGGATAAGTGTAGGAAAGTAGCTATTAAGCTCAATTTTAGGTATGCTCCGTCCTGGCCCCAGGGTTGCATTCACCACCCTGGATGGACAGTGCCTGCCCCTGCCCCACTCCCTCCCTCACCATGGGGGCCTCCATCACCCCTCCTCCAAAACCCCTTCCCTACCCCCCCCCCTTTCCCCCAACAGACTTACTGGCTGAACGCTGCTCTCCAAGCTGCTCAGCCGCATTCCTGTAAGTTGGCTATCAGATCAATATCGGCCAGTATGGCTGGTTAATAATCAGCCATCAATATCAGCCAAGAAAATCTTTATCAGTGCACCCCTAGTTAAAGCTATGTGCTTGAAGGAGTATCACCCAAGGGGGGAGTCTAAATCAATGGTTCTCAAACTTTTTTGTACCAGGACCCATTTGTAAACATTGGTCAGTCCTGACCCCGCACCCCTCACTCCTGACCCTCTGCCCCCAGGCCCTAGCCCCCCTGTGTGTGGGGCAGGGTGTGTGTGCGGGGCATGGGTGGCCCCAGGTAGCCTGTTGCAGGCTGGAACTCTGACAGCCTGCAAGCGAAAAGCCATGGTTTCCCACATTTTATTCCTTAAAAGGAGAATCCATTTTGTTGATCCTTTTTTAAAGTTTGTTTGCGACCCTTTAAAAAATTCTTCCAACCCACTTTTGGATTGTGACCCACGGGTTGAGAAACACTGGCCTAGATGAAGAAGAACCTTCAGAACCTGTGGGAGATCAGACAGGGAAAGGAGAAAAAAGGAGAGGAGGCCAAAAGTGCTAAAGGAGATGGGAACTTCCACTTGTGACAGAGAAATCAAGGAGAATGAGGGTAGAGAAGAGGCTATTAGGTTTGAATACACATAACAAAAGTGTAGAACTTCTAATATTTTGTTTGATACAAACAATAGTTACATTGCTTGATATGGTGTCACAATAAATGCCTGAAAAGATGGGTTCAAATTTCTAACATTTTTAAAGGCTTTGTAGATTTGACAACAGCTTCATTGGGGATGAAGGTGAGAGAGAAGTTGTTCAGAACGAAGTATTGGGGCTTATACGAAAGAAGCTAACCATTCTCACACCGTGTGGAGAACTACCCACAGCTCTTGCTGCAGCAGTTTATACAAGAGTGGATGAAGTCCATGCGGGAGAATTCTTGGTGCGTACATTTAGAGAGAAAGGTTACTTTAACAAACTTGAATTCTATGTGGCAAGCAACAAATCTTCAGCGTCCCAGAAAAACCAAGAGGCATCATATCCTCATACCTCAGAGTGTTCTGAGATGGAGAGCTTATGCAAATCAGCTTTCCATACCCTATGGCCCATGTATTTAGTGGTCAGTTTTATAATAGAGAATTCCTCTGCAGAGGAGAGGACATTAAATGCTTTGTTCTGTGCAAATTCTGTGCCTGGTGAAGGGAGCATTTTCCCAGAAGAATTATATAGTCTCCAAGTCTGTGGATCACAAAACAACCCTCCCTGCATCCAAGGCTGATAGCCATAGAATAGGGGTGGGCAAAATATGGCTTCCAGGCAGGATCTGGCCAACCAGTTGATTGTATCTGCCCCTTGGCTGCCCTCATGGCACTCCGCATGGGGCCGTGCCCTGCCCGCTCCCACCTGAGGCAGCTTGTGCCATGCTCCCACCCACACCTGCCTCATGCCCATGCCTGCTAATAGCACTGCCCTGGCCCCAGCCAGCATGCACAACTTCCCTTTGAGGCTACTCCAGCTGCTGGTGCAGCCACCTGGGCAGGTACTGCTCAGCTCCGTTTGCCTCACTGCAGCTTCCCCACACCTGGAGTGGGGCAGCAGGAGGAGCCAAGCAGCTATGGTGGCAGTGAGAGCAGCTCCATCAGGAAGCTGCACATGGTGGCTGGGGCTAGGGCCAGGGCAGTGACATCAGCAGGTATAGGGCAGGTGTGAGCATAAGCTGGCCTGACAGGGAGCAGGTAGGGCTCAGCCCCATGCAGAGCACTGCCCGGGCAGCCATGGGCCAAATGAGGGGGGGGAGCAAAACACACCTGCACCACACTGCCCAGTGAGCTGCCCCCTGCCCACCCCCCAGCAGCTTCTGAGACCTAGCATGTGGGCAGCCCCCCCCATATCCTGCCACACACTCCACACCCTCACCCCCTCCTCTCACCCACATAGTATACAAGAGTAAGATTTTATTTTGAGCTATTATGCAATCACCTCTATATACACTACTCAAAACATAAATCAGGACACAGATATTTTTTGAAATAAGATTAAAATATGTTGTCATAGATGTTTGATTTTTAGTATATGAATTTTTTTTATTTATAATTTGTAAAAATTCTGAAAGATTTTATGTATGCATCCCTCAACAGCTCACCAAAACTTAAGTGGGCTACCAACCAAAATAATTGCCCACCTTGCCATAGAAGCTGATTTCAGCCAATTCAAGTCAATGGGATAATTATTTAACATAAAAGATAATGTGAAATAGGTCCTGTCATATTAAATTGTATTTTTAGTGCAGAGTGAAGGATGATGCCCAAAGACCTAATACAAGTTTGTGTTCAGTCACAATTCTGGGTTGCTGTGTTCTGTTCATTAAGACAGCCATAGAGGGTACAAAACAGAAGCAAAAAGAGATACATTAATTTAGGGTATTGCTTCAATATTCTTTTCTGATGGGGAGTCCAACTACAAACTTTTATAGGTGCTCCCTGTCTGGTACAGGTCAAAAAGGAGTGCAGGCAGTACTACTACTGATTGCCCTTCTTCATGATGGATTTCCTCTAGGGAGCAGGTGTCTAGGCTGCTGCAGGGTTGTGCAACTGAAACCTTCCTGTGCTTGCTTGTATGGACTTTTTAAAAGTAACAAAATCTCTTGCTATAAAATATCAGTTACAGCAAGGAGTTTCCACAGTGACACATTCTAAAGCAGGGTTGTCCAGATGACAGCCCCTAGACTCCTGCACAGCCACCACACCCCTACATTGCTTTGGTTGCAACAGCAGCTGGAGTTTCTGGAGACCCTATTCCTCCTCCAGCTTTCACTACCTGCTCTTGCCCCAGGGACAGGGCAGTATAGCATGGCACAGTCAGGGGAGACTAGGGTACATACTGCAGCAGGGGGTAGGGAGCAGACAATGGCTCATGAGGTACACCAGTGGAGGGAGCATACGTGGTACAGTAGTATGTATGTAGTATGACCTGAGGGATCCATAGTTAGTCCTGGTGCAACCTGTGGGCATGTGGCCCCCAGCCACTTAGAAGTTGGACAGCCCTGCTCTAATTTAACCTTCTAAATCATATCTCATAAACCATACTTAACTCTTATTCTGCATTACTCAATGCAAACAACAGCAGCATTCAGATACATGTGTACAGAAGTCAACAGAGACTCAGTGATGTGCAGATAGCGTTCTTTGTTTTGTTTTCCTCTCAGGGGATCAGTCAGCATCTCTTACCAGAATATATGCAAGATAAGCGATGCTTCGTTTTGGTTAGCCAAGGAGCTGAGATAATACGGTTGAAAAAAGACAGGTTTGAGGAGTTAGCAGATGATACAACAATAATGAAATTACACAAAATAAAGACCACATACCCCAGGTAAGTGAATGAATATATTTGGGGAGAGAATTGACCCATAAATCAGTGGACTGGTACTCAACAAAAATTGAGGTGGTTGGCCTCAATTTATACAACTTCATCTTAATTTCACTAGAAATTAAGGATAAAAACTGGCCTTCCTAATGTTAGTGGGTGACTTCAGTAGAGCCCGACTTTCACCGCTAAGTATCTTTGGTTCTTTTCAGTGATGATGAGCTTTGTCAGAAGTTCCTAAAACAAAACAACTGGAAAATGTTCAGGAAAGATCTGGTGAATTTTATATTGAACCAAAAATTCATGATGATGGCAAGCCCTCCATCTGCAAAGCCCAAGGAAGATGCTAATAGTTCCTGGAGTGTGAATCGAGCAGGTGTTCTGGACTTGGCTGCTCTTCGCCATCCTGCTTCTTCAGGTACTAGACAACAACAACACAAATTTGTCCCGGTCCAAACACAACAAAGACAGGATTCTCAGGCCCTTCCCAATATAGAGTTAAGGTTGATTCATGGCATTGCTTTACCACGGCCTAGTTTGAAAGGATTGTTTTAGTGAGCGTAAAAAAGTCAGTCAGACCAGCAGGTTGAAAAGTACAAATGCAGCTTAACAAAACAAAAAGTGAAACGGTATTTTTATTTGTTAAAAAATGTTAAAAATAAATTAAAATATATTTTGTTGTTGCTGTTGTTGAGCTTTTTAATTTTAGCTTTTTCCACAGTTTCTGTGGAAGAACGGTGGTGTTTCCCAAACTTCACACAGATTCTTATGGATGTTTTCACCTTGGATCTTTTCTTTGAACTATGAAGTATACCTTATTTTCTATGTGGTAATTTGTATTTCATTTACCTGTGATAAGAAAACCCATTTTCACTGTGAAACACCTTTTCAGTCCATGTTGAACTTTGAAGGATGCATCTTTATATACAAAATTAAGGTATTTTGATTTATTTTTTGATACTGAAATACTTTCATATTATTCACATCCTAATTACAAATGAAATAAAGTTGAATAGAGAATGTAATATCTTTCTCATTCCACATGACTAGCAAACTTAACGAAATTATTAATGTATTTTTAAATGGTATGTAGATACACAGCTATAATCTTTGCTGTGGTTCAGTTTTCAGGGGACATTTGTACACATACATTTGTCTGCTCTGACACACTGGAGATCTGGCATGTCAGAGCAGACTTAATTGATTGAGTCTGCTCTGCATGCGAGCTGCCTGTTGGCACAGTACAGAATAAGGCTGCAGGCCCCTGCAGCCCTGCACCCAGTGAGACTGGGCTGTGAGGGTGCGGATTCCCTCCGTTTGATCACTCAGCAAAAGGGTCACCTAATTCTCTCCTGCCATGTCTTGTTGCTGAAGGTCTGTTTGGTAGGAGGTGGTTGAGCCTGCTGCATGTTGGCCTGGCTGCACAGGATCTGCTTCTTGTCTGGGGCTCTTACCTCCCCTACATCCCCAAAGGGGGAAGGGGGCTCTTTCTCTCAGACCCAGCCCTATCAAGTAAAAGCAATAATAATTAAAAAAAAAAAAAAAAAAGGAACACAGGAAAATCTCCAGTTGGTCTCCCTTACATGGTGGACCTTTCTATCTGCCTTAGATGCCTCAGTGTCATTCCTCTGTGCTGTCGCAGCATGTGTCAGTTCACCACATGAGATGGGTCCTCTACAGCCCTTACTAACTTGGCTCTGTCCAAATAGCCAAGGAGGATCCTTTCCCAGCATCCTTCCAGCTTGGGCCATTGCTGGCTGCTCTTCTTTGTTCTTTTCTGGATGGTCAGGACCCAGCCTAATAAGCTCTTCTTTTCTCTTCTCCCCCCACCCCTAGCCGAAATGAAAGTAAAAATAACTGAAATAAAAAGACCTCACCTGGAGCATTGTCAGCTCTCTGGCTGGCTCGTTCCCTAATATGGTTTCCTACCAGCCCCTCTAACAGCTCTTGTGCTGCTGTGGGCTTGGCTGCGGCATCCCAGACTATCAGAGCTCCTCCAAGCTCCTGGGCTGGGAAATCAGCCCTCTCTCCATCCCTTGGGGTTCTGGCTGTGGCATTCAATGTTGCAGCATCCGTGTCTCCTTCCCACCTGTCCTGTCACTCCTCCTGCCTTGGCACTGGGCCAGAAATACCGGTGCAGCTGCAGGCACGTCCAATCCAGACTGAGCAACTGCTAATAAAGCAGGGCTCCCACAGCAACTAGCAATCCTTTGTTGTTGCTGGCTCAGGCACTGTAGGTAGGTTTCTTCCCACTGTGGGTGCACAAGGGACTTTTCTCTCTCCTTCACATTTATGTGCCCAGCGCTGCGTAACATACATATTCATATAAACAGTGAAATGTGTGTCAGCGCTGGGAAAATGGCAGCAGTGTGCTTTTGAACTAAAATACCTTCAAAGTGTTTTAGTTCAAAAGTGTGCCGCTGCCATTTTCCCAGTACTGATGCACATTTTGACATTTATACAAATGTATGCGCCGTGTACAAATGCCCAGGGAGATGTGACATTGCTCTAGCATTTCATAGTTAGACCACTGAGATGTGCTCAAGACAGATCTACATATTAGAGTTTCCAATACTGCAGGTAACATTTTATTTTAAAAAGTTTTCTATGAATTACAAAATATTGAAAAAAAATTATCTAATTTTTTTGGGTAAAACCTTATGTCACAGTCCTTATAATAAGGAGTATCTTTAATATAGAATTTAAAAGTAAATAATTAGACCACAAAAAATGCTTTTCTCCAAGCAGTTCTGAGAATTGTCCATCCTTCATATTAGGCTTGCATGAAAGAGAGTTTTGATACCTCATTAGACCAGTGGTTCTCAGTGGATGCATCTACACATGCACATTTACTGCTCAGTAACTGAAATTACTGCACAGTACAGGTGCACATCTACACGTGCGTGCCCATACCACACAGGAAGTATGGTGACTTAAGCCAACTTGAGCATAAATTTGATACCTGCATCATGCAGGTATCACACTTACGCCCGATTAGTTACTGCGCAGTAATGCACATGTAGATGCCTTACTGCACAGTAACACTGTGTGTGTGGACTAATTTGGGATTAATTTTAGTACCAAGTCAGTCCACATACAGTGTTAATGTGCTTTAATACCTGCACGTGTAGACGCTGGCTTATTCCCACTTACTGCATAGTAAATTTAAGCTGGCATAAATGCAGGTGTAGACGCACTCAGTCTTGTTAGATTCAAGTTACCCTGTCTGAAAATGCCAGCTTTTAATTTTTCTCACACATTTTTTGACTTCAGAAAAATATTAGAACAATTTTTCTGTTGCAAAGAACTTAGAAAGACCACAACAGGTTAGAATGTTTTTAATACTGTGGATTCCTCTGGGTTTATCTTATGAATCATGTCTGCACACCTAACAGTGCTAACATTGTGTGACACACTACGTCATCCTTGGAAGGATCTCAAGGAGCCCCAGGGTGCTATGGCATCCTGGTTGAGAATCACTAGACAGTATGGAAAAGAGAGATGCCATGATCCTACTAGTATACCTGCTTAACTTCATGCACTATACTTAGTACTCATAAAGTTACTAAGACTGTTGAGGGTCCACAAAGATAAATATTTTGGAGGATTGGAGTCAAAATTGTTGTTTTTTTTCCAATATTTCTCCATGCTAATTATACAAAACAATGCATTAAAATAGATAGATACTTTAGCAGTAGTACCAGTGCACCGATACATTGGTCCAATAGTCGATCAGCACTGATATAAAGAAAATTGACTATACTGGAAATCAGCCTGAAGTGGCCAATAATTTGGCTGATAAATGCCTGTGTGTGCATGCAGCCACAGCACAGCACACAGGCAGCAAGGAGCACAGCCCAGCAGCATGGAGAGCTGAATGCAGCTGGTAAGCCTGTTGTGGTAGAAGGGGACAGGGGGAGGGAAGGGGCGGAGGGGACAGATCAACGCCCTCCATGGTCAGGGAGGGAGTGGGGCTGGAGCTTGGGGTGGGTGGCAGCAGCACTGAGAGTGGGGCCTATGGTGAAATTTGGGATGGCTGCAGCACCCTCCCATAAACCCCTCTCAGCACCGCTGCTGCCTGCCCCGAGCACAGCGCAGATCCTGGTCTCAGCCCACAGCTGCAGCCCACCCTGCGCAGATCCAGGGGTACACCCCCCACCCCCCATGCCCTCCAGGACAAGCGGCGGGAACAGGATAAGGTGTGCACAGCAGCGGGAGCTGCCCCCTGTCCCCATGCCCCCTGGATTAGCTGCGACTCCATCCTGTGCCTGCCCTGCCCTGCCCCAGCCGGGCAGCACCTACCCCAGCCCCACTCCCTCCCTCACTATGGGGGGTGTTGATCTGGCCTCCCACACCCTTTCCCTCCCCGCTCCCCTTCCACCACAACAGACTTACCAGTTGGATGCAGCTGTATCAAAAATTGGATCGATATTGGCCGATATGCCTCCTTAAAAATTGGTTATTGGTATCAGCCCCAAAAAATCTCCATTTGTGCACCCCTATTTAGCAGTAGCTTAACCAGAGCTGGGCAATCGTGTCATGAGCCCTGGTTGCTATGTTGTAAAGGGCCAAAATGGACTCAGGGTTGGGGGGTGGGGGATGTCACCAGTGGAACATTGTAGTGACTAGCCTTGGCACAGGGTCACCTCAATGGTGTAACCTCCAGCCATGCAGACCACAGGCAGTATTTCCCTCATCAGCCTCCCTCTCTCATGCTGGGAGGCCAACAACTACTGAGTTAACTGTCTCACAGCCACTGTAGAATTAAGGCTTTTACAGTGTCATACTGTATACAATTCAGTGGCAGCTGTGAAAAGTTTAACCCTGTAGCTGTTGCAGCAGTGGCATCTTCCATGGGGGCTGGGGGAGTGAGACTAATGGGGGGAATCCACCCCCAATCTCCCTTTAGTCCAGGGGATGGCAATTATTTGGGCCCAAGGGACCCACAGGGAATTTTAATGATTTATCTTGCGCTGGATAACGCTTCCCCCCCAACCTCCCATGCAGCAATTCACCAAAACTCCCTGTGGGGCTTTGGGCAGACAGGGAGCAGTTTTCAGGAACAGGATGGGTGGGTGAGGCTGGGATCATGAGGCCGCATTGTGAGGTGGTGACACCTTGGGGCTGGGGCCCAGGCTGAGCTGTGATCCACTCCCTGCATGCCCTGCCCTGTGAGGAGTGTATGGGGGTGGGGGGAGGTTGCCTGGGTCCTAGGTCTCGGGAGCCAGCTAGGGGTAATGGGAGGAAAGGGGAAGGGGCACATGCAGCAGAACTTGCCCAGGCAGTGTGGTCCACAGCTACCCCCATGGTGCTCTACGTGGGGCCAAGCCTGTTCCTGCCTGCCTGGTCCCAGCTCCAGCCCTGGCCAGTGCACACCTTCTGGTGGGGCTGTTCCTGGTACAGCTGCAGGCAGCCAGGTGCTGCTCTGCTTCCCTTGCCTCCAGCAGGAGCTGGCCTGCTGAAGCTTCTCTACTGTGTGCCCAGCCACCTGAAATGGCACAGCAAGGACAGGAGTGGGAGGAGAAGCCACCACTGGAGGCAAGGGGTTACAGAGCAGCACCTGGCTGGCTGTAGCCACACCAGGAACAGCCCCGCTGGAGCCTGGGTCAGTGGAGTGGTTCTGCTCCCCTTGCCTTCAGTGGTGGCTCCTCCTCTTGCTGCTGCTCCAGGTGGGCAGGTAGGT